AGAAAAGAAGAAAAATAGATGATGATGTAACTGTTCAGTTGGTTGGTTATAGCAGTCAGTTGGTTATACTCAGCTTAAGGTTCTCATATCACTAAATCTAGTTGTTCTATGGATTCTGCATCTCAAAAATCTCCTAAAAGTGATCTTGAGTTTAATATTTGTAAAAAGCAGCAAGGATAAAAAAAAGAAACTGTATAAGATAATATCACACTGGTTTTGCCAAAAAACTTCATTTCTCACTTCACTTAATCTTCTTCCTTCAGAATGGGACAAGGCCTTCTTAAACAGGCCGCGACAGCTTACTTTCCGTAAAATTAGCGAAGGCCGACTTTTTTACGGTTAAAATTATTTTATCTGTGCTTTTGTAAACAAACTTTAGAAACAAATAAAGAGCTTTATTAGGACAAAACATTTTGATTGAATTTCGAAAGCAAATATTGTAGGAATTTTTTTTACGTTTAGAAATAAGTTAATTACAATAAAAATTTAAGGAGTTTAGCTAAAAATGACTAAATCTCGTTTTTATAACTATATGTTTATTTTAGCTGTTTAACACTTGTAATACAAATAATAAATTTTTTGATAAAAACAAACAAATATATTAACTTTATTTTATCAAAATTATTTTGACTTTTTTGACTCAAACTATTTTATTTTGAAGTCGAAAGTTTTGCTTGTTTTATTAAACATTCCTTCCCAAAATCTTCAGAGTGTTTTTTACAATAATTGTTTAAAAAAATGTTTGCCAAAATGCAGCAAACTTTTTTAACACTTTGAACAAGCAATTGAAATTTACTATTGCAGTTAATAAAAATGTCAATTAATCCTTTCTTGCACAGCAATGGTGAAACTTTATTCACAAGTGTCACTTCAAATATAAAAAAACAATAAAAAAAAAGTAGACTAAATTGTCAGAAGGTTCTCTTAGTCTTCCCCTGTTCAAAGAACTGATTAAAGTTCCATATTTTTGAAAGATATCGAAGGTGTCTGTTTTATCACAGTGGTGGTGAGCAGGAGGAAACATTGTAAAATCTGTATGCTTTTCTAGCAACTTTCTAGTTTTGCTGATTCTAAATTTTTATATAACATTTTGCACAGTTATCAGATATGTGCCACCTGACCCCTGCCGATATTTCCCAAACTGTTTTTCTAGTGCATCTGATTGCATATGTCCTAACAATACATAAGATACACCGCAATTCAACAAATACTTGGCACAGCTTGCTAATCTTTTAGAAGTTTTTTGCAAAGCACTTGCAGTATCCATTGTTATCTTTTTCTCTCTTAATTTTGAATTTACGCATTTCAAATTTTCAGCAAAATACGAAATATAGTTCTCTAAGAAATCTATTTGCCAATCATTGACTGAAGTAATAGGCTTTCTTCGAATATCATTTAATCTAATATCTAGACCTTTTGCTTTACTGTTGACAATAAGCCACCACTTAACAACTGTTTCAATAAAAAGTGCAGTATCTTCAGCTTCAGGAAATTTTACACGTAATGTTGCAACTGTTTCACCACAAAAAACTTTAAGAACTAATCCAACATTTTATCGTTCAATTGGTTTTGGTGACACAGCTTTTTGTGTTAATATAACTTGCTCGCTTAGAATCTGTTTCATTATTAATAACATAACTAACAGCATTCTCCAGTTGAGAATAATATTTAATAACTCCTTTGTTTAAAAAAGACAGTTTAATTTGTAAAAGTTGGCTATATCCAGTAAAATAAATATCTCCAGAGTCTTCTAAAGTTGTATATATTGAAAACTTAGGTACTGGTCAACAATGTTCATATGATATTAAAGATATATTTTTTTCTTTTTCAACAAAATAAAATTTTTCTTCACAGTTATTTATTATTGACTTCAAATTTTTTACAATTGAATTAAATTGAATAACGTCCATTTTTTTGAAGTTTTCGAACTCATCAGGTAAATTATTTCTTTCAGAGCATATTAACCCAGTGACATCTTGTTTTCTAGACACTATTGTAATACAAGACACTGGTATACCTTTAAAGACTGATGGAGGATGCACTGGAACAAAACTACCACCTTTGACTTTTTTTTAATTCATGCATCTTTAGGCCAGTGCTGAGCACAAATTCGCTTATAATCTGTAAACACAAAGTTTGCATTTGGAAGTTTTTTAATCCATAACTCGCGATCCTCGGATTTAAAGGGGAATCATTGTGACATAAATATTATTTTTTACTTTTGATTTGTAATTTGAGGAGCAACCATAAACTCAGCATTTATTAGGCATTTTACGAGTTTAACTATTATAGTTTAAATCAAACAACATTGAAACTATACTTCTCCGTAAAAAAGTCGGCCTTCGCTAATTTTATGGAAAATGAGCTGTCGCGGCCTGTTTAAGAAGGCCTTGGAATGGGAGGAAGATGGAAACTTTTTAAAGGTGAAACATTTTATTAAAGGTTACAAACGATGTTGCAGAGCGAGGAATCAAGTTATGTTTAGATTATCTTCAGATATTCACAAAGGTGAATTTAAAATTTTATTTAGATGTTTTGTACAGAATGTTTGTCTTATAAGTATTTCTTAGAAGTCGTTGAAAATCATAGAAAACTTGTTGGTAATTTCATGAAATTCAATAAGAATTCAATAAGAAGAATTCAATAAGAAGCGATTATTCTCTGATTTTGTTCAATTCAAATAATAATTTCCATCAAATATGCATCACTCCACCAGATAGCACTTTGTTTATATAGAATAATTGATTCATTTTTTAAAGTTAAAATATATTTTTTGTGATAATTAAAGCATTTTAAGCATTTGGAATAGATTTGTTTCCCAATCCCACATCACCTAATTTTTTGTGGTGATAATTTTGCGTAAAAACATGATTCTTTAAACAAAATGCCGCAATACTTAAAAACATCCTAGAAAACTTTTAATTTTTTTTTTTTTTTTAATAATAATTTTTATATGGTAAGGAACAATTTTATATGCAGCCATGTGTATATATGTGTGTGTGTATATGTATATATATATATATATATATATATATATATATATATATATATATATATATATAATATATATATATATATATATATATATATATTAATTTATAAAAATAAAGAAAACAACTTTTTATGGTACTAATAGTTTCATGCCTAAAGGCAATCATCAGCCATGTAATACAAAACAAGAAACAAAAAAAACCGTTAAAATATAAAGTTACAGTGGAGTGTGCTCCGTCGTCAAAACAAAACAAAAACAAAAAGATAAGAAAAAACTAAAAACGGCTGCCTAATCACCCGTATCGAAATTCGAAAGGAGGAATTTGCTTTTATGTCTACATTTAGATACTAATTCATTCCTCTTATTTAATAAGTTATCATAGGTGTACAATATTATGGAATACTTTTCGTATAGACATAAGTTGCATCGTTTTATTGTAGGATTGTAAGATCTACAACGTTTTAAAATTTTCCATTTAATTGTCGGGTTTACTCCATTTTCTTTTAACTTCCATACTTCCTTAGACAACTCAGTATCGTTTTTATATTTTTCGATGTTAAAAGATTTTGTATGATTACCGTATCTTAAAAAAAGTTTAAAAGCATTTTCACTTACTCCAAAATACACTTTTTCAATCCTGTCTGGAGTGCCTGGATATAGAGTGGCTTGATACACTATGTTATTAACGAGGCACTGTTGATTTAAAGGGCACTTGCTTTTAGTAATACAATTGCAACTTTTATCTGATTCTGGGGGGATGTTTTTCATAATATGACGGTTATGAAAGTTAACGATTGATTTAATGTTTGGCATACAACTGTAACTCACCTTTAGAGTATTTCTATTAAAAATCTTGTGGTATTTATGGCCAACTGGAAAGTGCTTGTCAATTAAATCCAAAAAGATTTTACCAATTTTATTAGAAACATTTTTACTATATAGGGGGTTAAACCAGATAATATTGCGCTTACGGTTTTTTGGTAGAGGTTGAATGAGTTTCGGAATATAATTAAGTTTAAATTTGTAACCAGACTTTTTAATGCATCCTGATACAAATGAGCAGAGCTTTGAAAGCTAGTGTCATTAGATGAATTAGCTGACAACCTTAATTCTATAGAACGAGAAAGTTGCTTTATTATGCTAGGAGGGTGATTGAAATCAACATGTATATAGTTTAGTTCATTGATTGGTTTACAAAATGGTCTAAAAGATTGATCACTGAGGTTAAGTGTTACATCAAGGAAGTTCACAACTTTCATGTTACATTGTATAGAGATAGAAAGATTGTTATTTTTAAAAATTTGAATAACATGTTTTTTTATCGTGTCCATAAGGTGGCCACTAGCATTTTTAAAAACCGATAACCCATCATCTCGGTATAAGCCAAAATCTGTCTTGCTATAATATATATATATATATATATATATATATATATATATATATATATATATATATATATATATATATATATATATACATGTACATATACATATATATTTATTTACATAAAATGAATAAAAACAGCTTTTGATGGAACTCTGAGTTTCATGCCTTTCAGCAATCATCAACCATTGTGTATTATTCATAATGTAAAAACAGTTTAAAAAGTACAAATTAAAATTATGGTGACATGAGTTTTGACATTGCAAAAACAAAACAAGACAAAAACAAAAAGACATCAAAGATTTTAGTACCCAGTGTCAAATAAGGAAAGTAAAAATTTCTTTGAATGCCTTTGATATTATTTCATATTTGATATATTTTGATATTATTTCATATTTTTTATTAAGTAAATTTACTCGTCTTTATGACAATGTATAAAATTTCTCGCACATACAAAGATTTCAAGCTTTAGATGCTTGTAATCTTTCATGTAATCACAGGTTTTATATTTTTAGATTTTAGTTGCCATATTTCTTTAGAAAGTTCAGTGTCAGTTTTATATTTGGTTGCATTAAAAGATTTAAGATGGTTGGCATATCTTAAAACCATTAAAATTTTATTTTAGGAGTGTTAGAAGAAGCAAAGTTCTTTGGAATAAAGCCTATAATTGAAGAGTTGGAGTCAAGTGTTGTTGTAAAAAATTCTTGTTTTCTTTTTTTAGTTTTTTCTTTTGTTTATCAAGAACTTTATATTTCGAACGAGTTTTTTGTTGTTGTTGTTGTTGTTGTTTTATTTTTTTGCTTTTTATAAATTTATTTTTATTTATACTAGTATTTTTTAAACTTTCTATTTAAATGAAAAAAAAAGTTTAATTTCTAAAATTATTTTTTATTTAGACAGAAGAAAAAGCACAAGCTTGTGTCAGTCGCTCAGAATTTATGAGGCTGCTTATGACTACATCATCTACTGATAATTTGCGGTGCCAGGCAAAAATTTTAGCAATCTATTTATAAAAGTGAAATTTTAGTTGTTTTAATAGAGTCTGATAAACTATTTATTACACTTACACATTTATTTATTACACTTAAATATTTATTACACTTACACATTTATTATACTTACACATTTATTACTCTTACACATTTATTACACTTACATATTTATTACACTTACATATTTATTACTCTTACACATTTATTACACTTACATATTTATTACACTTACATATTTATTACACTTACATATTTATTACACTTACATATTTATTACACTTACATATTTATTACACTTACATATTTATTACACTTACACATTTATTACACTTACACATTTATTACTCTTACACATTTATTACACTTACACATTTAATACTCTTACACATTTATTACACTTACATATTTATTACACTTTCACATTTATTACACTTACACATTTATTACACTTACATATTTATTAGACTTACACATTTATTACACTTACATATTTATTACACTTACATATTTATTACACTTACATATTTATTACACTTACATATTTATTACACTTACACATTTATTACACTTACACATTTATTACTCTTACACATTTATTACACTTACACATTTAATACTCTTACACATTTATTACACTTACATATTTATTACACTTTCACATTTATTACACTTACACATTTATTACACTTACATATTTATTAGACTTACACATTTATTACACTTACATATTTATTACACTTACATATTTATTACACTTACATATTTATTACACTTACATATTTATTACTCTTACACATTTATTACACTTACATATTTATTACTCTTACACATTTATTACACTTACACATTTATTACACTTACATATTTATTACACTTACATATTTATTACACTTACATATTTATTACACTTACATATTTATTACACTTTCACATTTATTACACTTACACATTTATTACACTTACATATTTATTAGACTTACACATTTATTACACTTGCACATTTATTTAAATGATTTGAGTAGTTATCATTAATTGAGTTTAGTTGGGTTAGGTAAACAAAAAGAATAGATATAATTTAAAAACTTTAGAATATAAAATTCGCCGAATGGTCACACACAAGCAGTGAACACCTGAGGGAAAAAATGAAATACATTAGAATAAAGGAGAACTATTTTTTGAACAAAGCATATTTTGACAGTTGTCAAGACAAAAATAAAGGTTAATAGAGGAATATTTAAAAATAAATAAGACAGACAATGCACCTAAAACAGTACTTGACAATAATAAGTAAAAAAAAAAAAATTTTTTTATAAACACTAATATGAACAAACATATATAACAAATATATTACCAAATAAAAAAACTTATAAAACAAAAAATTGATTACAAAATAAAAAGTATGCTTACAACAATGGAAAGCCTCAGAATAGAAAAAAAAAACATTAATGCTAATGTGTAAACATAATTTGTGTAGTAATTAAGTACTAAACATCTCCTCAGAGTCGCGTCTATTATTACTGGCATTTCGATGAATATCAACACTTATAACTAGTTTATCCTGTCAGACAAATGCCACTTATGCTTTACCCCGCGACTTAGGCGAAATTCTGGGATCCCAAAATCCCAGGAATTCATACAAATTGTTCATCCCGAAATCCTGGGATTATTCACCAAAATTCCCCGGGATTTTGGGATCGTCAAAAAAAGTAAAAGTTAATAAATTTTATATATATATATATATATATATATATATATATATATATATATATATATATATATATATATATATATATTAATATATATATTAATATATATATATATATATATATATATATATATATAAATATATATATATATATATATATATATATATATATATATATATATATATATATATATTTGTATTATATATATATGTATATATATTTATATATACAGTATTGGACAAAACATTTGCAACCAACATCGAACAATGCTAAAAAGTGTTCCTAATTTAGATGTCTTAAAAACGAAACAAATTATACTACCGCAGCAAACAGTTCAGGAGTCTGAAGTCACAGCATGCCATGACATGAGCAATCAGCTGACAGGTGACAGCACACAGGCAGAATTTCATTGACAAGTGCCATTTTGCACCGGACAAAACAAGTGCAACTTTTTTAGTTTGTTTCATTTTCTTAAGTCTGGTCCGTGTCATTGTCACAGAAGTTTTTTAATAGTTAAAGGAAGTATCCAGATGTTGTGTTTCAAAGAGCATTATTGTATCATCACAAGGTAAATGTAACACGGTAAGCCTTGAGAAGCGTGATTTTATTTTAAATTATTTTTATGACTTCTAGTGCAAAAATGGCTCCCGACAGTCTTGGATTGGAACTAAGAAAGAAAATTATTGGCAATTACGTAAGTGAAATGTCACAAAAAGGTATTGGTGATAAATATTGCATAAAAAAATGGACCGTATCAAGACTATGTTCCAAATATCGTTCTACGAGGAAGATGGCAGCAGATAACAAAGGTGGAAGACCACGTTCCACCACTTCTAGAGAAAATTCTATGATCGTCAGATCTGTCAAGAAGGATCCCTGGATATCGTCAGTCGAGATACAAAAGCAATTAGAGCTTCCTTTATCGGACCGAACATTCAGACAACGTACTGTTGAAGCCGGATTGTTTTCTCAACGTCCTGCAAAAAAACCGCTGATTTCACAACCAGAAGAAAAGACTCCTGTTTGCTCCATCTCATATTGACTGGAATGTGCAGAAATGGCGAACTGTCCTGTTCAGTGACAAATCGAAGTTCAACATCATTGGGAGCGATAAAATTTGCCGTGTACGTCGACCGGTCGGAAAATGCCTCAATTTACGTTACTTCCATAAGACCGTGAAGCATGGTGGAGCCAATATAATGGTCTGGGGGTGTTTTTCTACTAACGGTCTAGGTCCAATACATCGAATCAATAGAATAATGGACTGTTTCATGTATAAAATTATCCTCAAAGATGTTATGTTACCTCACGCTGAATGGAATATGCTAATAGAATGGATTTTTCAGCAAGACAACGATCCGAAACACACTGAAAAAGTAGTCAAGCAATAGTTTCAAGACAACCACCTATCGGTGATGGATTGGCCACCTCAATCTCCGGATCTCAACCCTATCGAGAAGGAGATCGATCAACTGCAGAATTAATTGTAAAGGTGTTCGTAATAAGGTGTTCTTAATAAGGAATAAGGATATATATATATATATATATATATATATATATATATATATATATATATATATATATATATATATATATATATATATTATGCGGTAGTGGTGTAGTGGTAGAGCGCTCGCTTCATAAACGAGTGGTTCCGAGTTCGATCCCCACCACGTCCCTGGTAGTACCGCCCTCAACTCGTTTCTCCGCGCAGCGGCCTTGTTCGTCAAGGTTCGTGTTTCGGAGTTATAGAGTTGAGAGAGGGTTATAGCCACAAATAAGTAGCCTCCTCGTCTGTAGTGGCCGTCTCGGCCTTGAGGAGGTGAATTAAAATAAAAAAAAAAAATGTATATATATATATATATATATATATATATAGTATTCAAAATTCAGCTTTTTTAGCCTCAGCAAACAAAAAACATAGATTTTTATATATAATTTTATATATTTTTATAGATTTTTCTATAAAAATATATTTTATATTTTTATAGAAAAACAAACATTTACTCTTTTTGTAGAATGAAAATCTAGTTATTAAAATTTTTTAATTTGTTTTTTTTAATGAAACATAATAACACAGATAATTTTATTTGACAAAATACGTAATTTGCTACAAAAACGTAAGTAATTTGTTACAAAAAATTACAATTTGTTAATGAATAAACATAAACTTACATAAAGTTACATAAATTAACTAAAATCTCATTTTTTTATAAAAAGTAAACAATCAAATATTTCTTGCCAATTAACACATTTTGTTTAATGAAAAATTCATTGTTTATTCGTGAAAACGAACGTAAAAATATAAACATTAGATTACCATCATTTATCAAAAGCTATGCTTATTTATGTACACGTGTTTAATGAGACTTTTTAAATGAGTTTAATCGTTTTGATTGGTATGAATGTTATAGCGTAAAAATGTAAAAGTTACAGTTTGTATATATTTTAACATAATTATGTTACAATAGTTTACAGTTTACTGACTCATTTATATATCATTTATATTGGTATGAATGTTATAGCGTAAAAATGTAAAAGTTACAGTTTGTATATATTTTAACATAATTATGTTACAATAGTTTACAGTTTACTGACTCATTTATATATCCTGAAATTATTCCAAAATATATAATGAGCCGGGAATGAAACTCAAGATCCTTTCTTATTAAAGCCTAGCGTGACCAATGCGCCACTGCTGCTAAATTATAAAAAATTTAAAAAGAGGTTAAAATCATTGACAAAAAATTATCAAAATATAGAAACACATTTTGTCTAGGCACTTTTTTGCCAAGACAAATTATCAAAATACCACTAAGCCTATGGCAAAGACCTCAGGATACACCAAGTGCTGAGGTTAATTTCGAACACTATATATATATATATATATATATATATATATATATATATAATATATATATATATATCTGTGTGTGACATAAACATGTTTTGGCATTGATTTACAGTCATAGCCAAAAACTTGAATGCTGTAACTTTTGCATACTAAATTATATGATATTATTTCATATTTCTGCAAAGTTTCAAGTCCTTTTCATTTTCAGTTCATTTTTAATAGCTTAATGAGTGTCAAATGTTATAGCCATTACTCTCATGGAATTGCTCATATATATGTATGTATATATATTTGAGTTTATATATATATATATATATATATATATATATATATATATATATATATATATATATATATATATATATATATATATATATACACACACAAAATAAAACATTAAGAAATATACATTAAATTGTTTTTATTCAAATATTAATTTATGCTTATATTTATCTTATTTGAAAACAGAAAACAATATATATATATATATATATATATATATATATATATATATATGTATATATATATATATATATATATATATATATATATATATATATATATATATATATTGTTTTCTGTTTTCAAATAAGATATATATAAGCATAAATTAATATTTGAATAAAAATAATTTAATGTATATTTCTTAATGTTTTATTTTGTATTGTTAATTTATTTTTGGATAATTCTTTAGGGAGTCAATTTGTCTGGAGCTGATCTGTCTTATTTAGATCTCCGATCAATTAACTTCATGTATGCAAATTTATCTGGATCAAACTTGCGCTTTGCTTCGTTAGGTGGATGTCAGCTTTTTCTAGCTGATTTATCTGGTGCTTCACTTGATGTAAGTATTTTGTAAGTACTTTAGTATTTTTTTAAAGAAATGAAGTCACTAATTTCATATTGATAAATTTTAATATTATTGTTTTGCTAATGCAGCTCTTAGATGGGGCTGGTTTTATGGAAAAAAATGCTGATTTTAAAAGTCGTTTTTTTCCAGAATGGAAAGTTGCCTGATTTTTTTTTTTTTTTTTTTTCTATTCAAGAAATTATCTTGGATCAGTTCTTGAGAGATTTTTAAAAGAAAAATTTAAAAAGTTGAAATTTCAATATTTTTATTTTAGAAAAATCCATTTTTTAAATAGTCTGGTAATGTGGGCCACATGGATGTGAAGCCAGAGTCTGGAGTCCAGGAGTCCCTGTTTTCACTTGGAGTCCCGCTTGTTATAAAAATTTTTGGGGCTCCTAGACTCCAGGATTTTAATTTTATATCAGCATATGAACGTTTCCTAATTAACTGAGTCCTCTTCTTTTGTCTTTTCAGATTATCACTTACTACTGACCTTTGATCCAAACTATCTATACAATTGGTTGCTAAATTAGCATCTGCTAATGTTGCTTCTCTTTTTTGTTTTAATGTTGTTTACCATTTTTTTAGTCCTGATTCCATTCTCTACCTCAACAAATCTCTTATTCGTCCCTGTATGGAATACTGTTGTCATGTTTGGGCTGGTTCTTCTAATGATGCTTTTTCTCTTCTAGACAAGGCCCAAGAACACATTTTAAATGTAGTTGGACCCACTCCATCTGCTATGCTTGACCCTCTTTTCTATAGTCGTAAAGTTGCATCTCTTTCTTTTTTCTTCAAATACTATCATGGTTGCTGCTCAAAGGAGCTATCATCTCTAGTTCCATCAACCAAAACTGATTCACGCTTGACTCATCATTTAGCAAAGTCTCATTCTTTTACTGTATCTGTCCCTGCATGCTCCAAAAACCTGTCTACTTGTCTAGTTTTTTTCCCCATATATATATATATATATATGGGGAAAAAAACTATATTTTTCCCCATATATATATATATATATATATATATATATATATATATATATATATATATATATATATATATATATATATATATATAATATATATATATATATATATATATATATATATATATATATATATATATATATATAAATATATATATATATATATATATATATATATATATATATATATATATATATATATATATCAGTAATAACCGATAGGTTTTATCGCGCATTAGATAAAGGTGGAGAGGTTAAGGCCATTGCTCTTAACATTTCTAAAGCGTTTGATAAAGTTTGGTATGCTGGTCTCCTCCATAAGCTTTCTTCTTATGGTGTATCTGGAAACATCTTTAAGATTATTGAATCCTTCCTTTCCAATCGTAGTATAAAAGTTGTCCTTGATGGACAGCACTCTTCTTCTTATTCTGTAACCTCAGGGGTTCCCCAAGGTTCAATCCTTGGCCCTATACTCTTTTTAATTTACATTAACGATCTTCCAGATATTCTCACATCTAAGGTGGCATTGTTCACTGATGATACTACCATTTATTCTTGTCACGATAAGAAGCCAACTCCCTCTGATTGCTTGCAGGGGGCATCTGAGCTCGAAAAGGATCTCACTTCTGCTACAGCATGGGGCTCGCAGTGGCTGGTGAACTTTAATTCAGATAAAACTCAATTTTTTATTAAAATTTTTTAAAACTCAATTATGAACGGTAATGTACTCGATGAGTCTCCTACTCTTCATCTTCTAGGATTAACTCTTACTTCTGATCTTTCTTGGAAACCTTATATCAAATCCGTTGCAAAATTAGCATCTGCTAAAGTTGCTTCTCTTTATCGAGCTCGTCACTTTCTTACTCTGGATTCTATTCTCTATCTCTATAAATCTCAAATCCGGCCTGGTATGGAATACTGTTGCCACATCTGGGGCGGATCTTCTAATGATGCCCTTTCTCTTTTAGACAAGGTGCAAAAACGCATTGTAAACATAGTTGGACCTGCTCTTGCAGCCAACCTTCAACCTCTGTCACATCGTCGTAATGTTGCTTCTCTTTCTCTTTTCTACAAATACTATAATGGGCACTGCTCTAAAGAGCTAGCGTCTCTTGTGCCATCTACTAAAATTCATTCTCGTGTTACTCGTCATTCAATTAAGTCTCATCCTTTTTCTGTTACTGTTCCTAAGTGCTCCAAAAACTCTTATTCGTCTAGTTTTTTTCCTCGAACATCAGTTCTTTGGAATTCGCTTCCTTCATCTTGCTTTCCTGATTCATATAATTTGCAATATTTTAAGTCGTCTGTCAATCGTTATCTTGCTCTACAATCTTCATCTTTCTCTTCCAGTAACTTCCAACACTAATTTGTGGTTGCTTGCAACCTTTTTGGAAGCGAAGATAATTAAAAAAAAATATATATATATATATATATATATATATATATATATATATATATATATATATATATATATATATATATATATATACTTAAAATTCCTTGATATATGTGTTTACACAAATAAACTTAAATGTGTAATAATTGCTGTTATGGAATTTATTGCTTTGGTTTTCTTCGTTTTTTAGGACGCAAATCTCGAAGGTGTGCAAATGAAACGTGCGAATCTTGAAAGAGCCTCTCTAAAAAACTGCAAGTTTGAATCTCAATCTAACGGAAGCGTGATAGCAAATCTAGAAGGTTTTTTGCTTTATTATTTATATAAATATTTTTTTTTTGTTATTGTTTTATTCTTTATCTTTTTATAAAGAAATTTTTTTTTCACAGGTGCAAATTTAAAAGGAGCTGTTCTTGAAGGTAGCCAGATGAGTCAAGTAAACTTGCGCTTGGCTGTCCTTAAAGAAGCAAACATGAAAAGCTGTGTGCTTAGAGGTGCTGTTTTGGCTGGAGCTGACTTAGAAGTAAATAGTGATATGTTATTTACATAAAATAACAACATAATTTTTTTTTTATTTATAACATTTATAAAACTAGATTAGATTTATTGCCAATTTTTTGCTTGCAGAATTGTGATTTAACTGGTGCCGACCTGCAAGATGCAAATCTACGTGGTGCGAACGTAATTGGAACAATATTTTTAGATATAGTTGCGCCATTGCATATGGTTCATTTAATGTAATTATAATATATATATATATATATATATATATATATATATATATATATATATATATATATATATATATATATATATATATATATATATATATATATATTCTTTTTGTCTTGGGTTTTAAAAGGTATTCCGCTACAAATTTTTATTTGTGCTTTATGATTTCAAAAGGGAATTTTTTCATTTTAATTTTGATATATAAATATACTAAAAGGTATAAATATTTATGTAAAAAGAAAATATTAAAATATTTATAAAATTTATAATTGTAAAAGTTTTTTACTTGGAACCGCGCATTTTTTATGGTTCTTGGTTATTTTGTTTGTTTTTTTTTGTTGTTTTTTTAATTTTTTTTTTTGAAAAGAATTTTTCAATTTGTAAATTATTAAATCAAAGTTTTATTTTTTATTGTTTGTAATTTTTTATTTGCTTTTTTGTTCTCGTACTGTAGGGGAGACCGGGGCTAGTTGACTCGGTTTTTACTCTATGAGCTCGAAGAGTATGAATTTGGGTAACTTATAAAATTTGCATTCATTTACAAAAAAAATATTTTGGGGCCTTTCTGGGCCCTCAAAAAAAAAAATTGCGTCAATTTACCTCACCCTGGGGTAAGTTGCTTATACTCTAGGGGTAAGTTGACTCGCAATAATAAAAGCTAAAGTTAAAGGTCTTATATAAGTGTATTCCAATAATATTTTAACCCCCCGCCCCTTTTTTATAAAGGAATCATAGCTGAAATATACTTTTATCAATATCATCAAACTTTTGGATCAAGTCATTGTAACATTTTAAGCAATAGAAAGTAAATATAATTAAAAAATACAGTGACAAAACAAAACAGTGTTCCCAATTTATGGTTATACGATAAGAATTAAAACTTATACTGTTTTATTACATGAATATTTTTAACTAATGGAGTTTTAAATCGGCAGCAATTATTGCAAATGAAAAAGAAAGATTTTCCGATTATACATGACTCGTGAGCCCAAAGGTGACATTGGGTGCATTAAACCCAAACTTCCTCTGGTTTACTTTTAGAAAACATTCCAACACAAACCAAACAAAAACACTCCTCTTCAACAGAGCTATTTGGAAATTCAAACTTTT